GCACTGGGGCATTGGGCTTTTTGCTCCGACATTCAGTGCATTTGGTGGGTACTAGGTTCTTGGCCTGCACTGTGTTAGGGGACATGCATTTCCAACCTGCACTCGGGTACAGGATCCCCCGCCTTAACTGCGACAGGAACTGTGCATTCCCCGCTTGCCCTGGGGCCGTGGGCCCTGCTTTCCCAGCCTATACCGCCACTCCACATTGAACCCAGCCTATGGCTGCTTTGCTGCCTGGGGTCTCCTGGACCCTGTGACCCCCATAGTGTGCCTGGGTCTGATATAGCAGTGCTTGGCCAGGTGGGTGCAGAGAGGGGAGGTGTGATGAGGGTCTGTGCCCCTACCCCCAGTATAGAGCAAATGCTGGCAGCCAACCCGGGCAAGACCCCGATCAGCCTTCTTCAGGAGTATGGGACCAGAATAGGGAAGACGCCCGTGTACGACCTTCTCAAAGCCGAGGGCCAAGCCCACCAGCCTAATTTCACCTTTCGGGTCACCGTTGGCGACACCAGCTGCACTGGTGAGGAAGGCTTGGGCCAGCCTGGCTGGGGTGTGCATTCACAGGGCCCCATTGGCTTTATTTCTTGGAGTCTCTTCACAGTCCTCTTCTCCAAGAGCAGTGAGGGAGGGAGAGATTTCAGGGGGAAAGGCCACCAACTGGATTGGGAGAACAGGTCTAAGAGGAGGTGGGTAGGACTTGTAAGAGTTAGAGGAGCAAGCAGGATTGCCATAGTGATCTGGCAGGTCAGCATCATCCTGGAGGAAAAAGAGGCGATAAACCAAAATCTCAGCCAAGTATTTGGGGCAGTGAGTGTTGGCTGTCCTGGACTTTTTGCAGGTGCTTAACCAAATTCCTATTTAGTCATCAACGTCAGTCTAATCCAGTGATGTAAGTGGTAGTACCCTAATGTTGAATATGAGGAAACTGAGGCTCAGAGAGATTCAATGACTGGTGCAAAATCACAGGCTTAGTAAGTGGTAGAGCCAGGCTTGACTCTAGAGCCTACCATCTTTCTATTTTTCCAGCCATTCTCTATTGAAAGATAAAGCTTCCCAGAGGAAAGTAAGGTAGAGAAAGAATCTCCACCCAAGGTGTCTGAGCTCAGGAGCAGTTCTGTCTGGCGTGGCTTGATTTGGGGAGCTCATGGAAAGATAAGGGCCCTTCCTTCCAGCAATTAGTATAACACTTCGAGTCTTGGACAGGGGGAGGCTAGTGAGAAGGGGCTTGGTTGACTCCCTGTAGCTCTAAGGAGAGAGGCTGTGGGATGCTGGTTTCTCTTCTGTCCTTCCAGTGACCTCCAGTATTGCCCACACCCCCTCTCTCAGGTCAGGGCCCCAGCAAGAAGGCAGCCAAGCACAAGGCAGCTGAGGTGGCCCTCAAACACCTCAAAGGGGGGAGCATGCTGGAGCCGGCCCTGGAGGACAGCAGGTGAGGGAGGAACAGCTGAGGCATCCTAGAGGCCCTGCCAGGAACCCAGGCCCTTGCACCAGTAGGCCTGGCCTGGTGACACTTAGCCACCTTGACCTGGCCTCTTCCTGAGTTTCCTCTGGCCCTGGGCAGGATGCTTCCTGCTGCTGGGGGGAATGGCCAGGACCACTGAGGGCTTTGTGGCTGTGGCTAGGGAGGGAGAGGGGTGGAGGCTGAGGCTGGAGGGAGTTGCCATCTCTGTCTAGCAAGAGGCCCTTTCCTCTTCTGCACTCAGGTTGGAGTTTGTTGTTCCCATGTTTCTTGGGTAGAAAGAGACCCTCTTCCTCCTTTTCTCAGTCTTTTTGATCTGATGCTTGGCAGCAAAGGATCCCAGGAGGAAGAGCTGGTGGTTGAGCTTCCCTGAGCCTTTGACTCAAGTGGGAAGGAATTCTCATAGAGGATGGGCAGGTCAGGAGGACCTTGGTCCCCCACCTTTCCAATGAGCCCCCTCTCCCACACATGGGTGTGAATCAAAGGCCCCCTTCCCCTCGGGAAGTTCTTTTTCTCCCTTAGACTCTTCACTGCCTGAGGACTTGCCGGTTTTTACTGCTCCAGCCGCTGCTACTCCTGTTCCATCTGCTGTCCCAACCAGGTATTTTGTGTTTACTGACTGCCTGAGGCAGGGAGGGAGGGGTCCTGGCTCCTGGCCCCCAGCCTTTGGACCCAGGCTGGTGAGACAAAAGGAAGTCTGAGAGTAAACAGAGGCTGGAATAGTTGGGGACCAGAGTTTGAAGAATTTGCACCAACTGGTAAGCTCTTGGGACAGGAGGTAATTAATGATTGTTATATGGATGATGTTTGACCATGTTCAAGGGTCTTGTAAGGCCCTGTTCTTCTGGCCTGGCCCTATGATGGCCCTGCGTTTGAGTCCCATCAGGTACTTCCAGAGACTGAATACACAGCCCCTCCCACTGTCCTGGTGAGGTGATGACCACGTGTTCCAGAAAATTGAAATGGGGCTGGGACCTGGAAGAGACCTCACTTGAAGGGGAGGGAGAAGGAAGCAGGCTAGAAGTTTGGACAGACAGCTGCCTGCCCTGCTGGAAAAAGGGGGATGATAGTGGGGGAAACCAAAACAAGGCATAGGACTCCTGGGCAGCAGCAGAAGAAATTAGCCCCCTCAGCTTTGGCCCTGGGCCCTTTTTCCTTCAGGAGCCCCCCCATGGAGGTGCAGCCCCCTGTCTCTCCTCAGCAGTCTGAGTGCAACCCAGTTGGTGCTCTGCAGGTGTGCTGCCATCCTCATTTCCTGTGCATGCCTGCCCTCCCTTGAACCAGGGGACATGAGGGAAGTTAATGGGGGGGTGGTTACCCTGTTCTGGGAGGTGGTTACCCTGTTCTCAGGGCTTTTTCCATCCCCTTTATTCCTCTTCTAATCTGGAATCTTAGGCTCTAGTGTAGGAGGGTAGGGTTTGGACTCCTCTCACTCAGCCTTGTGCACCCTTATTTCTCCCTTCCAAGGAGCTGGTGGTGCAGAAGGGCTGGCGGTTGCCTGAGTACACGGTGACTCAGGAGTCTGGGCCGGCCCACCGCAAAGAGTTTACCATGACCTGCCGAGTGGAGCGTTTCATTGAGATTGGTAACTGGGCAGAAGGGAATTCTTGCAACTACTGTCCCTAGCACTCCAGTCCTGGCCACAAGCAGCGCCTAGCCTCTCTGCTACAGTCCTGCTCTCCTGGCTGAGGCCCCCATCTTGGCTCCTTCCTCCTAGCTTCTTCCTTGTACCCTATCTTCCCTCCTCTTCTGGCCAACCAAGTTCTCAGGTTCATGGCAGGTCCTGAGCTCCCCTTTCCAATCGGCATCTCCTGAGGGGACCCTCAACCCAGGTTTGAGCTGGGTGAAAAGCCCTGGGTCTATTAGGAGTTATAATCCAGTGACTCTCTTCCCACACACAGGCAGTGGCACTTCCAAAAAGCTGGCAAAGCGTAATGCGGCGGCCAAAATGCTGCTTCGAGTGCACACGGTGCCTCTGGATGCCCGGGATGGGAATGAGGCAGAGCCTGAAGATGACCACTTCTGTATTGTGAGTGGCTTGTGGGCCATCCTCCACACCAGGCCAGGGCATGGGGACTTAGTTCTGTGACTTGGGAGTGAGCCATTCTGGGTCCCAGGCCTGCTTCTGTTTATTTTTCCTAATAGACCCTGGGTTCTTGGGGACCCCTCTCAGCTTCAGCTGTAGGCCCACCTGGCATGTGCTGTGGGGGAACTGGCCTGGTGTGGGGTCCTGTAGGCTTTTGTTCTTGGGATGAGCAAAGTCTGCCTGGCCATCCAATTCAGGGTCTAGTGAGAAGGGGCCATATGGGGATTGTCTAAAGGGATGTAAGCTAAAGATAACCATTCTTTGGGCTTTTCTCTCCTTGAATATTAAATGTCCATTAAATGCCTGGGTCTTCCAGCCCAATGCTACATCTGTTTCTGTCTTGTCAGGGTGTGGGCTCGCGCCTGGATGGACTTCGGAACCGGGGCCCAGGCTGCACTTGGGATTCTCTGCGAAATTCAGTGGGAGAGAAGATCTTGTCCCTTCGCAGCTGTTCCCTGGGCTCCTTAGGTGCTCTGGGCCCTGCCTGCTGCAGTATCCTCAGTGAGCTTTCTGAGGAGCAGGCCTTCCATGCCAGCTACCTGGATATTGGTATGGCTAGTTGGGGGGCCGGGGGATGTTGGGGACTGGACCAGAGCAAGTACAGATGGGTATAAGGAGTCAGGGAGGGCATGATGATGACGTGGACTACCCCTCCAGGTGCTGCCTTCCCACCCAACACTGCCTCCCTCCTCTCTCTTGGTCTCCAGAGGAGTTGAGCCTGAGTGGGCTCTGCCAGTGCCTGGTGGAGCTGTCCACACAGCCGGCCACCGTATGTCATGGCTCCGCAACCACCAGGGAGGCAGCTCGAGGGGAGGCTGCTCGCCGTGCCCTACAGTACCTCAAGATCATGGCAGGCAGCAAGTAAAGCTCCAGCTGGACTCATGGACGTACACCCTTGCTCCCTGCTCCTCTTGCCTTGGCCCAGCATCTGCCCAGCTCTGGTACCCCCTGGAGGTGCCAACTCCACTTCTGACACAGACTGCCTCCCTGCCGGCTGAGGAGGGCATGGCCCCAGGAACCAGAGACCACAGTGCCTCAGTGGCCCGGCATCCATCCTCATGTTACTAGTGATGATGAAGGGAAATGAAATTTGTTACTGTCCCCTAGAACCCAGAATAAATGTGCTGCTCCTTGGATTCTTAACCCTACTCTTTCTGTTTCCCTGAGTAGCTGATGGCAGCGGAGGTTAGTGCCAGATCACCTCCCATGTTGTGCCTCTCCACCTTGTTCCCCACAAGTCCCCATGTCTGCTTTTCTGGTGGCAGGAGGCTGGGTGCAGTGACTTCTGGGACTCCCATCGCCTGTGTTCCTGGAGAGTTTGGTGGAAATAGAGGGGCTGTGGTTCTTGCCCTGGGTGCTCTCCCAGCCCTTTCAAGCTTCAGACACAGACACCTGGATTTAGAAGCCAGGCAGCTTTATTGGGGGGGCACACATGCATTTTTGGGTGTGGGCCTTGCATGCAAACATATCAAGGGATGATGACTTGTCATTTCTTCCCAAAGCGCTGAGGGGCAGCCAGACTCCAGAACAGGGAGCTCAGCCCCTCCCCAGCTCGGGTGCTCAGCCGTTTGTTCCTCCAGGAGCCCCAGGTGTTTCTGCCGAACCTTAGGAGAGATCCTTCCTCAGGTGAAGGTTCTTCCAGTCCTCCCCTTCTCCAGCACCCTCCCTCCTCTTCCTCTGGCCCCTGCCTTGCTATGCCCCTCTCAGACTCACCTCTGGGGCTGAAACAGGAAGGCTGAGCTCCGGCTGGGTCTCTGCATGCTCTGGAGCAGGGAGAGCAAGAGTGACCTAGTGGTCTCAGAATCTTGTGCTGGGAGGGGTCCAGGGTCTTCCTCCTGTGGTACAGGGACATCCAGGAAGGAATGTGGCCAAAGACTTTTGACATTCAGGTCACTAGAAGAAGGATGTAGCTTCCAGTGGCAAGTTGTAAGAGCCCTTTCCTCAGATGTGAGGCCCCAGTGAAGAAGACCCTTGCCACTGGAGTGTTTGAACCTAGAGCAGAAGTCTCGAGCCAAGGCAGAGGGAAATAGTGATGTGAGGAGGGGGTGCCACTTACCGTGAAGATCTGACCTCCATCCAGGTCGCTTGGTTCTCCAGCGTGGCCCCAGTCTGTTATTAAAAGCAGCACCACCAGCAGCACTGCTGCCTGCCTGGAATCCATGCCATCATCTGCCTTCCGACAGCCACCTCTGCCTCTTATACCTGCTGTGCCCCTGTCCCCCACCCCACAGCAGCCTCAGGAGAAATACAGAGCAGGCAATGGAAATGCACTGCTCCATTAAGAGCCCCTGGGATCCCCTCCCATGGCCCCTCCGGGACTTCCTGCTCCCAGCCTCCGGCCCCAGCCCCTAAGCCTGAAGTTACAGACTTTATTAGATGCATAAATCCTGTCTCCAGAGCTCAAGAAGCATCATTAATTGCAGATGCTTTGTCAGAGCCAGGCCCTAGGGGGCGTTTAAGAACGCCCAATCCCTCAACAGGTCGGAGAGCTCCAATTGATCACCTCTCTTTTCTAACTTATAGAATAAAAGCATAAATAAAGTCCTGTCAGGAAGGGCTAGGTAGGTATTGTGTCCTAGAACAGAGGGAGTGGGGGAAAGAGCCCAGGTCAGAGTCGGCCAGGATGACACAGCCTGCTTTCTCCCCTGGCTGGGGTTGCAGTCAGGGTCGCCCAGCCCATTCGCACCTGTTTCAAATGTGCCTCTTGGAGGGTTACAAAGGGAGTCACTACTATGAGATTTGCCTGTGGAAAGAAAAGTTAGATACATAAGGAAGCTAAAAGAAATCCTTGTAGATGAACTCCATCTTCACTCCAGAGAACTGCTTAGGACCTGCCTCACCTAGGCCTTGGGAGCCATCCTCTGCAGCTGGGGCACTGCTGCCACCCTGTGGTCACAGCTCCACACTGCCAGGTCCAGCCATTTCCTTTTTCTGGAATAGAGCTCTATGAAGAGTCAGACGGATGGAGGATCTAAGGTCCTGATTTTAAGGAGTCCCAGACAGGCAGGGGCAGAACACTGGAGTGGGACTATTTTTCTATCCACCTCCCTCTAGTCACCCCCACCTTCGCCTGGCTGTGACCTACTGTGGCAGGAGACTAGAATCAGCCTTGGGAAAGACCTGACTCCCAGGAAAGGTCCTTCAAGGTCCTCCGGTGCCCTTTCCCATCTGATCCTAGATCCATGCAAAGTGGTTCTGTAGCCTATAAATCAGCCTCGGGCAAGCTGTCTACCTCTCTAAACTACAGTTTCGTCACCTAAAACACGGCAACATTAAAACTAACTACTTCCTAGGGTAAGCATTATTTGAGATACTATTGGTCATCCATTCAGTACAAGATGTGACACAAAGCAAGTGTCCTGAAAACACTAGCGTGAGGAACCTCATACACGTGAGTCCCAGGAACTTACCATCTCCTGAGAGTGTCCAGACAGATTTATCCTTGCACTGAGCTGGTTTCCATCTCCTTGTGGCCTCCACCAGGGGGGGTCTTAGTTCGCCTCATTGTCTCACAGAACATCTCTCGATTCTTTGATGTATACAAGCCTTTCTCAGGTTTGAAGACACTTCATTCTACTCTGTAGTCTTTTTTTTTTGTGCAAGGGGACATGTTCCTTCCACCCCCACCTCTTTCAAGTAAGGCATTTATAAACCAATTTGTACTTGGGGTAGACACATCGAGCAGGTTGTGATCTGGATGTTCTAGATACATTTCCATTCATGCAACCTAAACTAGGGTGAACCTTTCTGTAAGCTATGTCTCATGGCTGGTCCCAAGCACAGAACCTAACATTCCTCATTATATCTTCTAGTTTCACTACTTCTAAAAATGGAGTGCTAAAATCTTAAGTAGATGGCTCTTCTGTGGGAAGTGGATCCTGCCCCACAGTGAGGTCCCTGTGCTCTCATCTGACTGAAGTCCAGAGGAGCAGAGGGTGGGTGGGGCACTGCGAAGAGTGGCTCTAGAGTCAGACAGAACTCAGTTTTAATCCCAGCCCCTGGCACTTCACTATGTGCCTTTGGCAAGTGTCTTAACCTAAACCTCACTTCGTCATCAATAAAATGAGGCAACTACTCCTCTTACCAAGAGGCTGCTGTGAACAATAAATGATGCAAAGCATCTAGCATTCCATCTAGCACAAAGCAGACGCTCAGTGAATGTTTACCACTCTGCTGCTTCTCCCTCTACTATTTTTCTGATCACCAAGCACAACACTGTCTGAGCTGAGGCTGCATCAAGAAAGGAGCAGTATCTAGCTGGCTTCCTGTGTCCAGGATGGGGGTGACTGGTCTCTCCTTTGGTTAGTAGTTGAAATGGATTAATTCTGCTAACATGGGAAACTGCCCTGCTTTTATCTCCACCTCCCAACTCTCTTAATCTTGGTTTTAGTATCTGGCCTTCAGTAACTCCCTTTCTTACCCTTCTCTGGACCCCCACATGTTCCTGACCACAATACAATGAAGACCACTACCTAAGAGACCCCTAAGGAGACTGTTTCCTTCCTTGTGTCAATTATACCAAACATCAGCCACAGAAAGCTTCTTAGATAATTTCTCTCCTATTGGGAAATCCTCAGAGGTACCTGCTACTTCCTGGTTAAGTTCTTCAGTCTGGCTTACTCTCCTCACTTGTGATAATTATTGAGGAATACACAGGTGCAATTAGTAGCGACGCCCCACACCTCCTTACTCATATGGTTCCTAAGTATTACCTCTTTGTCTTGACAACTCTCTTACCCGCTTCTAACCAGTGCCCCCACACCCTAGAACTCAGAATCATAGCTTCTCTCCTGGTCTCTGTGTATTCCTGTCATGTTGTACACTTTTTTTTAATTGTTGGGAATGCGTGGGGACAAAACATTGAAAGGTAAGAAGAGGACACTTGCCTTCAAACACCATGCCACCTCTCACCCTCACAGAACCACACAAGTCCTCTAGTGAGGGCTCTGATGAGGGCCCTTGTCTCCCGCACAGATCTGAGCACTGGCCCCTGTGCTTTCTGTTATATAATTTACATAAACCACCCACCTTCTCTAGACTGTCTTTACTGCATAAAAAGGAGGGATAAGAATATTGGCTCCTTTTGTTCAAAGGAATGGGAGAGTGAGGAAAATCTGACATGGAAGTCCAATGGTTTCCCAGAGAGTGGATAATGAGATGTGTAGATCAGAGTACTGAAGTATCAGACATAACAGTGGTTCTCTTGATAGTTTAATGTTATATTTGCAGCATAAATAAGGCACAATATATGTCAGGGCAAGGGAAAGAGGGAGAAGGCATGGCTGGGGATAACTGCTAAGTGGCAAAGGGAAGGAAGAAGGGACAGTTAGGGAGAATAGAGCGAAGACTCTGCCTCAGCCCCGTCCTGGGATATTGTGAGAGCCTGCTCACGGGGATGATGCTGAATTGGGGCGGGGGTGGGCATTGGCGGGCGGCGGGAGGGAGATGGTTTTGTAACAAAATAGCCTGTAGCACTGCATGCTCTCACCTGTCAAAGTCCACCACTGGGGACTGGGGAGACTCAGACCCACAACGGAGTTCCTTGATGAGATGGAGAGGTTTCGCTACATGTCAAAGATATACAGATGAGCAGAGATATAACCATTGACAGACACTGTTTTCTTTGTCAGGAGGCTGCAGCCTCCAGCCCCAACAGTTGGAGGCTCATCTCTCTGCCTGAAGGTGTGTGTGTGTGTGTGTGTGTGTGTGTGAACAGGACAGCTAAACTCCAGCTGGTCCTTCCTGAAACAAAGAGCGTGGAGTGACCAGTCTGCAAGGGAATATGGAACAGCACCTGTCTAGAGCGATGCAGGACAGGTTTTAGGGATAAGTAGGATGAAGACAAACCTAGATTTTGAGATGAATAATGTGGTGGTTGTTTTCATGGTAGTGGAGAGAGGGGACTGCAGGAAATGAAAAAACACATATGTTAGTGCTCAGGCAGAGGATGGTACTTAAATAGTCTTGATACCCTACAAGAACTTCCCAGCTTGCCCTGAAGGCGATGGTTCTCAAACTTTAGTGTAAGAATCACTTGGAGTGCTTGTTAGAGCCCATCCCCAGAGTTTCTGATTCAATAGTTTAGGGGTGGGGACCAAATGTACATTCCTAACAAGTTCCCAGATGCTGGTGCTGCTGGTGCTGGACCATGTTCTGAGAACCACTGCCTTAAGGCAGTCAGTGAACTAGTGCTCACAGCCATTTCTTACAGCTAAAATATCACTCACCAGTAGTAGCTAATGCTGGTAAGATTTCTCCATGCTACCAGCTCCCATTAAAAACCAAACCCTAGCAGCTACAACACAAACCTGCATCTATGAAGGACATAAGCTGCCTTAACATTCCCTACTCTCCCCAGCCTTTTCTCTCTGGAGTAGGATTTCACCCAAAGAGAGATGAATGAACTGATAGAGGGGGTGGGAATGGTGGCCGGCAGCCACTTATACTCATTCCTGCGGGGGTCAGCACCCTGGGGAGTGGAGGAGGTGGGGAATTTATGTCTGTGCGCATGTGTTTTGTAAACAGAAACAGAGAGAATTCTGTTCTCTGAGGGGATGATTTAGGGTTGTGGGAGGTTGAGGGTCCTCACTTCTTGTTCCTCCCTCTACCTGTCAAACAAAAGTCTAAAGAAAACAGAAAGAGCACATCAACCAAGACATATGTGATACAGCCAGGATGACTGGATTCTACACAGACTGGTTATGAAATAAAAAAACACATTTCCTTCCTGTGTATACAATGTACAATATTAATGGGAAATAATGATTTGGGGATGGAAAAGTTATGGAAGAAAGGGAGTTCTTTTGGGGGAAGAGCTGTCTCAGGGCTAGCACCTTCGGTGGAGAGCCTCAGTGAGGAACATGGGAGCCTCAGAAACCAGAGGAGGAATATCTTAACGTCTGCGTGGTGGTTCAGGTTGCAGACAGGGAGGGCGTAGCTTGGATTAAGCACTCCATCTACCAGGATGCGTGGTGCTGGAGGGCAGTGAATCAGTCAAGGAGCCAAGAGCAACACAACAGGCAAAAGGAAGGCGGCAAGGAAACGTTCCGTTAGGTTATCTCTTTACCACCATGAAGAGTATACGGTCTAGTGCTTAGGGCCAAGAAGATGAGTGCAGGCTGAAGGAAGCCAGATTTCGGTGACACAACCAACAGGGAAAGAGTAAGTAAAAAAAATTCCTACTCTTTCTAGACCACCCTAGTTATAGGGGAGGCTTTCTCAGACTTTTCAACTCTAGGCAAGCTTTCAAGGGAATGGGGCAGAAAGTCCCCATTCCAGAAGACCCGGTTCTGGCTCCTGTGTCTATGGCCTTGGTTATCTAGCAGCTGTGTTTTTAGAGTGAAGTGAGAGGCCTTAGTTGTGTGTTCACGTGGAAGAGCAACAAGGGTTCAGACTCCCAGCTTCTTTCAGAAAGTATCCTTCCTTAAGTCCTTGGAAAGGCCATGGTTCCTAAGGGCTAAGTAATGCACTCCACAATGTTTGATTCCAGTCCAGATGAGTCTGCAAGGTAAAGAGTGAGGGAGAGCGACCACAGGGCTGATAGCAGTAACAAGATCAATGATGTTCCCCTCGACTATAGAAGAGGCTTCCGGGTAAGCAATTGCTGTCTTCTTAGTGAGACTATGGACCAAATAAGAGCTGTTGAGGGTGGGGGGCGGTTCTGTCCTGCCTCTTCCTCATGTCAGTGATTCTACTCTGGTTCTGTCAATACCCCTCATTTAGGTCCCCGATACTAACTTCCCACTGATGAAAATGAGAGCCAGACATGGGGGTTAAGACCGTAAACAAGACCCTCTACAGAAATTAGCCATCCTACTCAGGGACAGACTAGACTGGCAGGATGTAAACTGCCTCCAAAGCCGGGCAGTGAGGTGGGGCATGTGTACAGTGACAAACTGATTCTTAACTTAAAAAACACTTGACTGAAGGGGGAAGGAAAATAGTGAAGAGTCTTACGAAGGCTCCTTAGGAGTCAGAAACTCAGTCAAGCTCAAGGGCAATGCTGCTAGTGGGAAATCAAGATAATAAAAAAAATGAAACAAAACTAAAGCAGGAGAAAAGCCCAGGGAGCAGCAGTCTAAAAGATAAGTCCTGAGCAGTCATGGCTGTGAATTTTTAAAGGCAAGTGGAGTCCCTGGAGGTGGTAACCTGCTTCCTGACCATCTGCCATGCCATTTGCTAATCTGAGCCTCCTAAGGGGCTGTTCCTTTTGGGGCCCGGGTGGTAGAGGATGAGAAAACCATGTTTTCTCTCCTTTCTCTTCATCAGGTGTGG